AGGCCGTGTGTTTATCCATCACAGTGGAATAAGCAACGGGAGGCTTCAGGTCCCTTTGCCCCTTCCCATCCCTTATTATGAGACCCCAGCTGGGGGCATGTGCCTGTGCTGTTCAGGGTATGTGACGTGGGAAACACCATTGTTCAAATCACGTTTTCAGGTAGCTTTCCCCTGCCCTGCCTAAACACAGAAGGCACTGAGAGCAATTAATAGACTTACAGGCTTCTAAAGAAGTATCCTGCTCAGTTCATATACATCACAGAAGTCAGAAAAATATATTGCAAAAGGGCTCTCTCTGTACCCAGGCTTATTGTTTTGCCCCTACAATACCATAATTCCTGTTGACTTATCTTTCTGTTTACCAGTTGGCTGAAGTTATGACCCATGCTTTACTTAAAAATTGCTATTTTATATATATATATATATCATATTTATGCCAAAAAGATGTGGCTCCTTTGCTGTTGGGGTTCTCTAACTTTAGAATGAGAACATAGCTTTTTCTTTCTTCCTGAAAATAGCGCTAACCTACATTTAATTAGTGTCATATCATTTGGATAGGTTGCCTACAAATGTAAGCAGGGTTGAAGATACCTGCTTTGGTAGTTGGCTTGTTGCCACCTGTGATCAAACAAACTGCTGTATATTGATTCTGTTTCAGCTGACCTGGAAAATGAATTCTGGAAGAAGACTGGGTATCACTCATACCCCATATTTCTGCAGATGAGGATAAAAGTTGCTTTTCCCCTTCCAAAAACATATCCAGCAAGAGTTTAGTGTTATGTGCTATTACAGTAACTTTGATGGGATGCAGGGCCAGACAAGTACAGCTGCTGTCTATGCTACAGATTAATGTCTTTAATTAGACTCTTGAAAGCTTAGCCAATAAAAGCATAAACATGTTGAAAATTGATATTTATTACATTGTAGTTTATACAGTGAGATTCACATCAGATTAAAGCATTAACTATTAAACCAATTCCTGCAAACCGAATTGCAAGCGTTTATGATGTCTGTTTTCTGAAAGACTTGTTTCTACAAAAAACCTCTAGTTCACTGACAGCCAGCATAAAATTCTACAAATTCTCAGAAAATTATTGTATTTCTTATTTGCTGAGGGCAATGCCATGACGAGCTAGCTGTTCACAGCTGCCACTTCCAAAACCATGTCTTTAGGCAGGTTGCGCTATAAATCTAATGGAACAGTTTTACTACAGTGATGTCATTTGCCGTAACTTTAATCAACTGAAACATGATCTGATGAGGAATAAAGCAAGCGGTCAGATAGATCATAATTATTGCCCATTTGATTCCTTTAGTAAACGCACGTGTTCTTACATATTGTAGTTTGAGATATCATACTCCTTTCAGAACTGAGTGCGTGGGCTAAAGTTTTAATATTTAAACTGTAATTTAACAAGCAAGGGCATAAATGCTTAGAAGGTAACTGGGAGCCTCTAAATCTAGTCGGTGGAGGAATTAAGTAGAGCTTGGGGTTCTTTGCAGAAATCTCTGAAACGTCTACAAAAATTTACTTCAATAGTACATTATCAATTCTTTTAGTATACTGATCGAAATTCGTATAAACAATACTAAATGCTACTCTGTAAGGAATGGGTTCATTAAGGAATTTTGTGTTAATTCACTGTTTTTTCATGTATAAAACATGCATCCAACCTGGATGAATTTACAAGAGTGACTGAGTATCTTTCATTACTGGATGACTCAAAATGTTTCTAGAACACCATAAAGATTCTTGATCATGCAAATAGATGTACTTGTACTGTAGTTGAAATACACAAACATTGGTTTCAGTCTAACTGCTTCCCTGCTGAAGGATGAGCAGGAAAAAATAAAAAAGTCAATCTGCTCTTTCACACTCCCATAAAGAAACATATAATAGTCCCGCCAAGTCAGTGGGTGGTCTTTCAAAATACCAGCAATGTTGCGTTTTGTCAGACCAGCATAGGCTAATATTTTAGATTACTGTGCCTCCAGTAGGAACTGGAAGTTGAGACTACATGTGAGCCAAATTGCATCACCTGGAGGGTGGAAGGGGCAGCACAAACTGGAGAGAAGGAAAGAGAGAGGGACATGATGATTTTTTTTTTTATTTTTTTTTTTTAATTTACAGAATTTTCAGAGTTGGAAGGGACCTCTAGAGATCATCTAATCCAACTCCCCTGCTAAAGCAGGATTGCCCAGAGCACATTACTCAGGACTGCATCCAGGCGGGTCTTGAAAATCTCCAGAGAAGGGGACTCCACACCCTCCCTGGGCAGCCTGTGCCAGTGCTCTGTCACCCGAAC